CCCAAACTATTCCACTTACTGACTATGTGGCTGAAGAAATACTTCCTAACATCCCTGTGATTCATCTGTGTCTTCAGCTTCCAACTGTGTCCCCTTGTTACTGTGTCCAATCTCTGGAACATCCTGTCTTTGTCCACCTTGTCAATTCCTCTCAGTATTTTGTATGTCGTTATCATGTCCCCCCTATCTCTCCTGTCCTCCAGTGTCGTCAGGTTGATTTCCCTTAACCTCTCCTCGTAGGACATACCTCTTAGCTCTGGGACTAGTCTTGTTGCAAACCTTTGCACTTTCTCTAGTTTCTTCACGTGCTTGGCTAGGTGTGGGTTCCAAACTGGTGCCGCATACTCCAATATGGGCCTAACGTACACGGTGTACAGGGTCCTGAATGTTTCCTTATTAAGATGTCGGAATGCTGTTCTGAGGTTTGCCAGGTGCCCATATGCTGCAGCAGTTATTTGGTTGATGTGCGCTTCAGGAGATGTGCCTGGTGTTATACTCACCCCAAGATCTTTTTCCTTGAGTGAGGTTTGTAGTCTCTGGCCCCCTAGACTGTACTCCGTCTGCGGTCTTCTTTGCCCTTCCCCAATCTTCATGACTTTGCACTTGGTGGGATTGAACTCCAGGAGCCAATTGCTGGACCAGGTCTGCAGCCTGTCCAGATCCCTTTGTAGTTCTGCCTGGTCTTCGATCGAGTGAATTCTTCTCATCAACTTCACGTCATCTGCAAACAGGGACACCTCAGAGTCTATTCCTTGTGTGTGTGTGTGTGTGGTGTGTGTGTGTGTGTGTGTGTGTGTGTGTGTGTGTGTGTGTGTGTGTGTGTGTGTGTGTTAAAACGAGTACTGCTAGCATTACTCGTTTTAACACACGCTCAAAAAAAAAAAAAAATAGCCAGAAAGAGCGAAAAGACACTTTAACGTGATTGGAACAATACACAAATACCCCTCACATAGGAGAGGGAGCTTACGACGATGTTTCGGTCTGACCTGGACGATTTAGAAGTCGAACCGAAACGTCGTCATAAGCTTCTCTCTCTCTCTCTTGTGTGCGGGTTGTGTAAAACCTAGCCACTTATTTCCCTGACGATTTTGAAACACTGTCACCAGAGGGGCCTTACTGCCGTATTTCGACATTTTCCATACACTTTGCAAATCTTAAGTGATCTCCAAGTTATTCCCACATTACTTTACCACACACACACACACACACACACACACACACACACACACACACACACACACACACACACACACACACACACACACACACAGTGAAGCGAGACAATAACAGTTATAGCAATAAATTCCCCATTCATATTTTTCCTTATTAAAATCCTATACGGTAAATAATACTAACTAAACATTGTGTTGACAATGGTATAAAATACCAACAAGTTGATGATTAAAACACATGAAAATAAGTCACTTTTCGGGGTTATTATAAGTAATGTACACATACTCTTTGTATAATTTATGTAACTGGATTTGTGTGTACCTATACCTGGATATATTTAGCACTAGTCTGATGCAAACCCACGTAAATAATGCAGGTCTATGAGAGCGTATTTATAACAATGAATTCTGACCAAAACTCAGCACCTTCAGATGCCGATAATTATTTCTTAAAATTGCCCTTAAATGTTTACAAAGTTAAAATATATAAATATGAAGGTATAATTAAATAAATGCATATTCATTTTGAAGCGATTTAGAGAGAACGTTTTAGATTTAACAAAAATATATCTTCAATATATTAATTTTATATTTAGTAATATATGCATTCACAAATTAGCTGGAAGACAATCATTTTTCTAAAGTTATGTGATTTTTGTTCTGGAGTGATGGGGTAAGAATGAAAAAAAAAAGAACGTAATAAAATATATAAAGCGTAGTTTCAATAAAAAGTATTAAAATATTTGCAAAGATTAAGATATACACATAACATAGCAAACCAGGGTACGGGTGGGGTTCAAACCCATGGCGAGCGAGTCGTAAAACTCCAGGTCATGGGTTCTAACCCCACCCGTACTGTGATTTAATAAAATAACAAAATATCCACATGCCATTTTTTTCAACAGAGTACCCCTCAACAGTTTTAAAACTCAGCATTAAATAATAAAACATCACAAAAGTTCCGAAATGTTATATTATCAGGTTTATTGTGTTTAAAGCTTACTGGATACACGAGGGTATTAAGGGGCACGTCAGTTCCCCCGTATTCTAAAATGTTATTTTTCCTCCTATATTCTACCTTATCCATAATTACCATCGCATTTGCTTTGTCTGCTTTCGTAAGGTGAAGTCTAAGATCTTTACTTAATTCATGGTATAACTTAACAATTAAGTTATACCATGAATTAAGGAAAGATCCTGGACTTTATCTTACGAAAGCAGACACAGAAAATGCGATAGTAATTATGGACAAGGTAGATTACAGGGGAAAAATAAACATAATTTTAGGAGACAAGGAAATTCATGTGCCTCTTAAGACTGCATGGCGCCTGTACACCACCAGTCAAGAATATTCCAATCTCTAAAATAGAGATTAAAGTTAAGTGACAGCGTGTATACACAGAGCTGTGTGGACATCCTTGAAGTCGGCTAAAACAAAGAACATTTCCGAACATGCACTTTCAAGCGAGACTATGCAGCCCATTACGTGGCATTAGGGAAAGTGTGTAGCGAATTTTGTATTGTTCGTGATGAGACGAGTTCCTCCCCCTCGTCTCCCTTTCCTTTCCAGAGAAAAACTCAAATTAGTTCGCAAAACGACCACCGCGGGGGTTTTACTGCCCACTTGCAACATGAAAGCTTTGAAATACATCCACATACATATTTTTTTTTACATTTCGAGTAAAATGTAAATTGTTGGATCCAGGGAAAAAAAAAGTCATAGGAAAAAAGACGCGACTTAACCCATGTTATTTAAATAAAATGTGACTTTTGTCCAGTGATTTTTTTTCCGCTAGCAAAATTGTGACCTTTTTCCCAGTGACTTTCTTTCCCGGACATCAAATTTTTACCCACTCGGGCAAACAACGAGGCTGACTGAAAAATGGTATAGTGACACCCACAAGATGTGGAAAAAGACATGTACCATTCATGACATTTTTTCCCACGATGATAAAAAATTCATTATGGACGCCCAGTGCAATACAAATTAATAATGTTACTTGAATAACAATGATAGTAAGGTTAAATAATAAGAATATAAATATGAATTTTTCACTGTGAGCAAGGAACATGCAAATCAGCAAAATCAACATTCTTGAAAGGTTAAAGGAACAGGAGGTGTTAGTGGAGTCACGGCCATCAACAACGTGCATAATGTAAGACGGATGGTATGGTGGGGGTCACGGTGTCGTCCCTCCCTCACGGTACAATGGTGACAGTGTCTTGGGGTCACGGTGCTGTGGTACCCCTCTCACGGTACACTAGCGACAATATCTTTGGGTCACGGTACACTAGCGACAATATCTTTGGGTCACGGTACACTAGCGACACTATCTTTGTGCCATGTTGGTGTAGTACCCCCTGACGGTACATTGGTGCCATTGTCTTGAGGTCACCACGGTGCCACAGTACTCACATGCCCATTTCCTCGGTAGCCAGGGTACAGTGGTTGCTGTGTCTGGAAGAGAAGGAATGGGGAGAGGCGAGGAATGCGCGCGCTGCGGAAATGGTGACATATCATTTACTTTGTATAACTAAAATCTCCTCAGGAAAAGTCTTGGCGAGAATTTAATTTAGCTACCTCTAATGTATGCTTTAATTTGCCCAACTCTAAACTCCACCTAAATTATTTCTAACTTTATATAATTCTAGCCTGCAGACTAAGGTGTCCTGTAAATCTGGAACCGTAGAGAAAAACGAAAAAGAAAAACATGGTAATAATGAAAGATTTTATGCATAAGTGTTCAAAGTGTCCACCATTATTTCTAGTACAAGACTGGAGGAGGAAATAGCTGGCTAGTGGCTAGGAGGAACGACGCATGGACCGGTGTTCCGTGCGTTGATGATACCCCTGGCTATACTCTGATTCCAGACTTACGGGACATCCTATTCACTCTAGCTTTTATCTCACTCATTTCCTGACTCTCTCTCTCTCTCTCTCTCTCTCTGTCTCTCTCTCTCTCTGTCTCTCTCTGACACACACCAGCTCGTTGGCCTCAAAGATATACTAAAATATATTAAACGAGTTCCTCAGCTGGGTCAACTATTCACCCTTAACGGCACACTCTAGACAACAGTTTTCTCAAGTGACACTCGCTGGCACTTCCTCCAGCAACTTATCTAGGCCAGCAATTTGATACCATGTTGGTCAGAATTACCCCTGGCACCTTTTAGTGTCTGTGCCATCCAGTCATCCATCTTAGTGTAGGGTTACGAACGCTTCAAACATAAATTCCTTCGTTAGATGAAGATCGTTTATGTAGCTTCGTTATTGGCGGGTAACGTGAACTTATTTATTTGTGTAAGTTATTTTAACCTGTGTTAACGTTAAATAAGCAATAAACATTTTTTTTAGCTGTAGAGTGTGCATAAATACGGGCAGTGTATGACATTAGACAACAACTGTTCTGATGAGACAGTATTGCAACATTTGGATGTCTATTCTGGAAACGTTTCGCCACACAGTGGCTTCTTCAGTCCAATGCAGAAAAAGGTGGAAGACTGGACTGAAGCAACCACTGCATGGCGAAACGTTTCCAGAATAAAGATATCCAAATATTGCACAAGTGTCTCATTTATCAGCTTGTCGGTTTTGTAAACCACTTATCCGCAACCAATGTTCTCTTTTAGCCATCTGGGTACAATATCCCACTGACTGACGTGAAGACATAACTGTTAAAACTGATTATGTTAATTGTTGACGATGGTGTTGATAGTGTTAACAACGGTGTTAAAGGTGGTCATGGTACCAATGGCATGGTAATGGTATTGTGATACTGATTGCATCATCTTACACAATTCACTGCATTTCGCACAATATTCACTGACCAGTAAACTGACTGCTGCCTCGCCAGAAGTGTGTAGTCTGGACATCAGAAGCTCTCTTTCTAACCATGCAGATCACCTAGAGGTCGAAGCAATACAAACTAAATACAACACACAAAATATACAAAGAAAAAATTAACAAGCAATAAAATAAAAGTACTACCATGAATAAAACAATAAAAATGAATGTTATCACACAGTTCAGTTATATGACATTAAACTGTCAGCGTCAACACACTTCTAAAAGTTCCCGAGGCTCCCCCCCCCAAAGGTAGTTATAAAACCTCGTCGAAAGCGAAAAGGCCAAAATTATAGGCAGTTATAATGTGTCCCACAGTCAGCTTAATGTCACAAGCTACACAGAAATGGGGGAGAGGGGGAAAGCACCTGCAAACTTGTAGCAGTAGCCGAGGTGGGCGCCCAATTTTCAGCCGAGAGAGTCTTTTCAAGTGACGATTCTTGTTGTAGGGGAAAGAGCCAAACTACCGTTCTCTGTATAACTTGCTCTTAGTCTCTAGGACCCACCGAGGCATCCCTTACTTCCCACGGACATATCTATGTATGTGGCCCGAGAAGTTATGAACAATTACCACATTTAGGTACATGACACGAGTCTTGATCAACTGAATCATCTACGGAACAAAGTCTCTCGCGTGCAGAAACATTTTCATTGCAAAAAAAACAGGCCACTTTCAATAGGAGTCACACGCACCCAAACTAGAACGGACAGGGAAACTCGCATAAAAAAATGTAAATAGTGAGCAATCAGGTAAAAAAAGACTTGACCTATAAGAAAAACACGCCAGACATCAGACAGAAAGCAGAAATGGATGTAAAACTAAGGCATGAGGCAGGCAGGTAAACAGACGACCTTGTGAAAACGTTAAGATTTTCCAAATAACTGGAGAAGGGAGATTAGTCTAGCGTACGACCGTCAGTTACCCTCCGCAAGACACAAGGTGTGCCCTCCACTCAATAATAATAATAATATAATAATAATAATAATAATAATAATAATAATAATAATATGAAATAGAAATAATAGCACTAATAATAATAATAAATAAAAAATAGAAATAAAAAATAATTTTATTTCAAGACAATAACACACAAATACAGTGTAACAATCTGAGAGTTCAGCAAACAAACGCTGAAGCTGAATCCATCTTAATCCCAGTTAGTTTTCAGGCTGGGCCTCACTGCCTCCCTCCACTCGTCTTACTTGTTTGTCCACTACCCACACACCGTTTTCTGTGCTATGTACTCAAGCAACATATTTTAAATTCCAAAAACGTCAACAGATGACGTTTAGGTCATCATTAACCATTCCACATTTTTTCTCCAAATATCTCGGTTAATTTCGGTTTAGGTTAGATTACATGAACATATGTACATAATAATAATAATAATAATAATAATAATATATAAAAATATATATATATATATATATTAATATAAAATTTATATATTATATATAATTATAATTTTATTTTATTATATATATATATATATAATATGTTTATATTTATATTATTTATATATAATATTTTATATATATATATATATCATATATTTATAATATATATATATAGATATATATATATTTATATATTAATATATATTTATATAATATATGTATATATATATTTTATATATATATATATATAATATAGTATATATATATATAATAATATATATAATATTATATTATATTTATATATATATATATATATATATATTATATATTTATATATATATATATTATATACTATATATTATTTATATTATATATTATAATATAATATATATATTATATATATATATATATTATATATATATATATATGTCGTGCCGAATATGTAAAACTGGTCAATTAGCAAGAACTCATTTAAAATTAAGTCCTTTCTGAAATTTTTTCTTATACGTTTAAAGATATATTTTTTTCATTAATGTTAATGTAAAAATTTTTAATTTGTCACCAAAAGAATCTTGGAAAACTTACCTAACCTTACTATAACAAGAGCAATTTATTTTAGCCTAATCCAACTATATATATTTTAGATTTGTTTACAGTAATTTAATACTAAACATACACAGTGAAATATATTTTTTTTTTCGTTAGGTTCAGAATGATTTTGGCGAAATTATTGCATACACAAATTTTCACTTGTCCTATATGGCAAGGAGAGCGTTGCTATTTAAGCCAAGATCGCAAGTTCTGCCTATTCGGCACGACATTATATATAATATATATATATATATATATATATATATATATATTATATATATATATATATATAATATATATATATATATGGTAGGTAAGACACATATGCAACAGTTAGGCAACTTTATTCCGAAACGTTTCGCCTACACAGTAGGCTTCTTCAGTCGAATACAGAAAGTAGGCAGGAACAGTAGAGATGTGAAGACGATGTAATCAGTCCATCACCCTTGAAGTCGTAGAATTTGAGGTTGTCAGTCCCTCGGCCTGGAGAAGTTCAGTTCCATAGTAAGGAACTTCTCCAGGCCGAGGGACTGACAACCTCAAATTCTACGACTTCAGGGTGATGGACTGATTACATCGTCTTCACATCTCTACTGTTCCTGCCTACTTTCTGTATTCGACTGAAGAAGCCTACTGTGTAGGCGAAACGTTTCGGAATAAAGTTGCCTAACTGTTGCCTATGTGTCTTACCTACCAACCTGTCGGTATTGTATACCATTTTGATGTTCATATATATATATATATTATATATATATATATATATATATATATATATATATATATATATTATATACACAAACAGAAAAGCACGGTGATACAAGTTATTACCTCCTCAGGGGAAGTGCTAGACCCGTAGCAGCAGCGCAGCTCCTGTGGGGAAGAGGGGAGATTGTCAGATTCAGTCCAAGGAAGAGGAGGGTAGATCCAGTTCCTTGAATCAAGAGCTCCTCACCCCAAATCGAATTCTGTCTTCTGCCTAGCCTCCACCAGAGCCTTGACCCGCCTAATTTCTATCCTTTTACATCCCTTCACCTACCTCCTTCTCTATCTTATTTACTGTATATCATGGCCAGTGATGTATTGCCAACCACCACCCGTTTTCTATCTTCTATATAGACTCGTTAGTGTTACCAAGTTGAGTAAAAAACAACGTTGTAATATTGACACTTAACTTTGATATTGGAAGCTCTTGTGTCTAGTCGAGTGTGGGTGTGGTCCAGGGAAGGGGAAAGTCCACACACATACACACACACACGTACACACTTATACATACACACACACACACACACACACACACACACACCACACACACACACACACACACACACACACAAAGACTAGCACACTCAAAGGTCATCCGTGATGAAAAAAAAAACACGTCACTTGACTACTCTGAGTGTATCTGTAGACAAGGGATATGTATCACAGAGAGAGAGAGAGAGAGAGAGAGAGAGAGAGAGAGAGAAGAGAGAGAGAGAGAGAATGCTGAGTGGGACAGATCACTGATGACCTTACTTTACAAAGAGGTTATCTGTTGAGAACTAAGCGAGTCTGAGAGTTAACGCTGCATCTCTCGTCTCAATACGGGAGGTTTACTTACTAATATTATGGCGAGGCTCTCTCCCCATCCTCCAGATACACTACCAGTACAACAAGTGCATGAAGACAAATATAGTGCACTACTGAAAACGCAAGAAAGAATTATTAGCAAAGGAATAAGTAAACCGTTGACTCGCACTACTGATACAACCGTTGCCTTTGCAAAATCAAATGTGTGTGTATAAGCAGCCCTGGACTATTGATCATAAATATAATCATTGTTTTAAAGGGGTGGAGGGGTAAGCCAGCGGAAGGCCTCAGTCAGATGACCAAAAGCTCCAGCTGCGGGTCATCATAAGACGAAGACTCGCGTCAGGAAACACGTGTCCTGTTTCTTGGCAAAACCTTACCTAACCTAACCATCACTAATATTAATGTCATTCTACTTTATACAGACAGCAAATATGCAAATCACTTATCAGATAATTATCCTTTTATGCGCTAAATTGGTTATAAAGAAATAATCTTCAGTAATATCAAGTGGCGACCGACCAGGTAACCTCATCTATTTGCAAGAGCAATTAATGGTATGGTTATGGAGAAGCGACTGAGGAATGGGGAGTAATTTAGTCAGAGAAATAAGGCGACTCCAATTCCTTGAATCAAGAACTTTTTACCATCATTCATACAACCCTCTTTGAGGGTATTATTAATGTATATTCATAGGGAAGAGCTAAACCCATAAGTCATACAGCACCTGATGAATGACAAGCAATCAAGTTTGATCCGAGTATGGGGGAGGGCCGGGTAGCTCCAATTCCTCACATCAAAAGCTCTTCTCGTCAAATGACTCGAGATCCACACATAATCACGCACCACTAACAGCCTGGATGATCAGATACTGGTTGGCGATTAGCGGTCGGAGGATCGAGTCTCCACCATTTCTTGAGCTGATTTACACACTTACCTTTTAGCGCTTCATCAAGTAACACCAAGTATAATTCTTTAAACAATCTATGTATGAGACTCAAGGATCCGCTTTCCAAATATTTTATTGGGAATAAATTTGTCCGAAGCCATTGTTGGCAGCCCAGGAGAGTGTACACCACAGATACTGCACACGTGTGTGTGTGTGTGTGTGTGTGTGTGTGTGTGTGTGTGTGTGTCTCACTCACTTTATTAAAACTGATATTGTGAAACTTTGCCCACGTACACAGTACGTACGTACGTACACAGACAAATACCTTACGTTGCACACAGACACACACCTCTCGGTTTATAGAAGACTGTCCTATCTGCATTTACAACTTAGAAAGGAAATGTGTTCCAGGGTTTTAAGATTTTAGATTAAAAAGAAAAAAAGCCTTACTTGATGAGAGTAACATTTCGAGCTCGGCTTTGAAATATTTCTTAAATGTAATAAAAGAAGAGCAATGCCGTTGCATTACTGATCTAACACATTGTGTAATAAACGCGAACATAAATGTTTATAAATAACACTCAGTAACAGTGAAAGACAAGCCACAAGCAAGAATATTACACCGTGACCACAAGATAAGTGTTGCCTGAGTAGGCGTACACTTAACATACCAACACACACACACACGCGCGCGCGCACTATTTATTTTTAAGTACGCATACACGTACAGTAACAGAAAAATACTGAAGTCAGGCCAGGAACTGGTAATTGACCATTGCAACCACATATGAGTACATGAAAGCTCTTACACATTTCCGTTTCTATTTTTATAGTGGTATTTTAATCATATTTACAGTCAGGTGTTTTAATGCAATTTATTCCTCACACACATCATAATATTCTCATGCACTCAGCTGGCTGCAGAGACCCGCCACTTCCTTCTCCCACCACTAACAGAAAACACCTTAAATTAGATTTGCGAAGTCTGTGGCGAAATCACATTAAAGCACTTGTAATATTTAAGTTCCAATACGTAATTTTTTTTTTTTTAGAAAAAATACCGAGATAATTTATAAAAAGTGAAAATGTTTTGGAATTCACTTCAGAGCTGTGCAAGACAAATCCCCACGACAGGAGCTAAATGACAGTTATAATAACCATAATTTTTAAAGGAGTGGACAAGTAAGCCATCGAAAGGTTTCGGTCAGATGACCAATAGATCCAGCTGCGGGTTATTGTATGACTAAGATCCCCATCAATTAAACCTTACCAAACCCACGACAGTATAAATATCATTAATTTAAATTATATTTAAGATTAACTGTAATGCAAATAACCATCTAGAACAAGGTAATTTTGATGCACATCCCGGAATGTTTGTATACAACACTGGTACTAACCCAGATGTACTAACCCAGTTGTGTCTGCGCGGGTCGACACACTGCTGGTGTGACTTCTGTTTACCTTTTACACGATACGCAAGCCAGTCAAACTTGCATACACTTCTCTTTAGATACTTGATGTGAGGATATTATAAGAACGACACACATACGTACATACATAGATCAGAGGGACATTTTTTTTTAATTAGCGTACATCCACTATGTGCTGATCATATAATATCTACACTGCGGGAACCACGGCAAGCTATATTTCCTTATAGGAGGAATGAAGAGGAGGAATAACAATGAAGAAAAGGAACTAGGAACAGGAAAGAAAGAATGAGAGAGAGAGAGAGAGAGAGAGAGAGAGAGAGGAGAGAGAGAGAGAGAGAGAGAGAGAGAGAGAGAGAGAGAGAGAGAGAGAGAGAGAGAGAGAGAGAGAGAGAGAGAGAGAGAGAGAGAGAGAGAGAGAGAGAGAGAGAGAGAGAGAGAGAGAGAGAGAGAGCCTTCCCCTCGTCTCTACTTCTGGACATAATAGAGAACTAAGCAAGACGACTCATCTCTGACCGGGACCCGGCCTGGACAAATCCGTCATTCCAGCAGAGCTTTCAACACCGGAGGGGTGTGGGTGGCCTTACAGTTATATAAAAGGCCAATATTGTCAAGGTACCAACCATACTTGATTCCACTTCGCGGACAGCGAGAAGACAGTTTCTGTACCACAAGACGGGCAACAAACAGCAACTATACTTTGGCTATAGCAACGACAATGAAAGTCAGTTGACCAAATGAAATCTCTGACCCACAGATGGCTCCAACTTCATGCTGTTCCCTATTTGTATGTTTCATAACAATACAAATTTAATGAATGTATCGTAAGGTAAGGCTTTCAAATGTTCTGACTGATAACACTAAATAAAGGCAGGAAAGAGAGGGGGGGAAGGAGGGAGAGGGATACACAAAGAAAAGTGAGAAGATAAGCGAGATGTATAACAAGACATAATGAGGAGCATCGAGAATGGAGGAGATGGTGCGCTTTGGAATGCAGGAGAGTAGGGAGTGGAGGGCATAAGGGGGAGGGAGGGAAGGAGGGGGAGATGTGGTGAGGGTGGGGGGGGGAGATGTTAGGAAGAGGAATGGACCAGAGAGATGGATGGCAGTAGGAAGGGAGGGAGGGTAGTGAGGACGTAGGAAGCGAGAAAGAAATGGAGAGAGATAGAGGCAGGTAGGGATGGGTGGGGCAGTGGGAGTTATGGAGGGGGGAACCGGGAGCGACACAATAGTTTGTAACCGGAACACAACCCGGAGATGAGCCACTTGTGGCCTTAGTTCAGGGTCATTAGTGGGAGAGTACTGGCCAAGTCATGAACTGAATACAACCAAGAGAGAGAGAGAGAGAGATGGAGGGATATGAATGGCCTTACTATTATATACAAGGTCAACAATGTCGAGGTACTAGGCTCCACTTCGCGGACAGCTAGAAGACAGCTTCAACACAACAAGACGGGCAGCACACCGCAATTACTCTCTGGTTGTACCCTTCTCAAGAACATCACTTCACCTGAAATCATTCATTTCTAGAATGATATATGAGAGACTTTTGCAACATTTGGTTATCTTTATTCTGGAAACGTTTCGCCACACGGTGGTTTCTTCAGTCCACTGCAGAAGAAGGTGGAATAATAGGAGTTGAGGTAATCAGTCCCTCAGCCTTGAGTCGATTTGGATTGAACACAGACTCAAGACTGGGGGACTGATTACCTCAAATACCTCCTATTATTCCACCTTTTTCTGTATTGGACTGAAGAAGCCATTGTGTGGTGAAACGTTTCCAAAATAAAGATACCCAAATGTTGCAAGTGTCAGTTTTGTAAAGCATCTACTGACATTCCTAGAATGACTCGAGTCTCGAACATGTTCATACAGCCTACAAGCAGCCAGTCGCTCATGTATAACCTACAACAGCTAACAACAGCTCACGTAGTATAAAACTAATACATTAAAACCAGTTAAAAATAAAAGATTTATTG